TGTATGTATGTAATGTATGTAATGTACCAAAGCGTGTGTAAATGAAAGAGACAGAAAAGATTACACATAAATACATGTATGCATGGGTGCATAAGATATGTGTGTACACACATATAATGTAATTACAACATTATATATATAGAGAGAGAGAGAGATTGGGATACCTGTACACATGTACATATATATATATACACATATACAACCGGATATACAGAATAATACAACACAATATGATAACATAACATGACAAAACATAATAGAACAGAATAGAATAGAAAATAATACAACATATCTACGTACATATTTTGTGTATATACAGTTATATACACACATGCGCTGGCATGTTCCAGTGGGAGAGGGCAGCGATGCGGTGTGAGGTTAAATTCTCGTGACCGGCGTTTTCCGGATTTTGATAGCAGCGTCACGTCAACAAGGGACGGGTCGTCTAGGCTGGCGATTCTCGTGACTCGTCCGGCGGGAGGGTGCAACCAAATCCTGAGAATAAACACAGGAAGAAGAGAGTATTCAAAGCCAAACCCAAACCTACCCACACTCACAGGGGCGGGGTTGACCCAAAGTCCAGCCACATGTAAATACAAAGGTGCACAGTCAAAGTCCCCCATCCGAACGAAGCTCAACCCAACCGCACAGTGGGGGATTGAAGCCACGGCTAAATCCGGGGTGGGGGTAGCTCATGCTCAAATACATACATTGTCATACATACATGCACAGAAGACAGACAGACAGACAGACAGACAGACAGACAGACAGACAGACAGAGAGACATCTGTTGCTTCTCATTCTGTATTACATGGCATTATACTGTCGCTGCGTGTGGCTGTCGGGTTTTCTTGGTCGAGCATCTTGCTTTTGTTACTTCTTCTCCTTCTCAGTGCAGAGAGGGAGGGTAAGAGAGCCACAGAGACAGAGAGAAACCAGACACTGAGAGACAGCGAGAAAAAGTGACAGACAGACAGAGAGACAGAGTGAGAAAGTATGTATCGAGCCTGCAAGTGAGACTCGACCGTCAAGTCTGTGATTCGCAAGCCGGCTAGCTCTGTCGACTGAGGCTCGAAGAGAGTCGTTGCGGAGCTGACCGCGCTTCATTTCAGGAAACGTTATTGGACCGTTTTCCGTGTACCGGGCGCCGGGGAGAACGGCTGATGTGGGCACCGCCGCTCGAACAAAGCTGCGAAGAAGCTCCGACAAGCGCGACAAAGAACGTTCTACTCCCCCGCACTTCACACACTCTCCGGCCTTGTCCATCCACTGCACAAACTGGCTCACCTGAGACAACATATCACAAGGGCAGTGTTATCGTACCACCTTCCGCCCTAAAGTTGTCGACAGAGTTGTCAGGGACATCCGCCGGGACAGAAGGGCTAGGGCGACCATCGAATCATCCTCGTCATAGTATAGTACAAGACGTTCAGGAGACAGCTCCGAATATAGCGCAAAACAGCGGGAAAATTTTCCCGCAGACCCAGAAAAGTTTCACTGATTCCAAAAAGCTTCCATACGCCATGACCATCTACAGGAGCCACGGGGCGGGAAGTTCGGTTTAAGGCTGTAGGCTTTGACTGCGCTAAACTCTTCGAAGCATGACTTTGCCAGGTGGCCCTATCTGTTGCTGAAACACTCACGCGGTGTTCAGAGCTCCTCAAGATGCTGAGACTCGAGAGACCTACAGGCACTGCGAGCGAAATGCCTGAAATGCTCGCACCAAGCAACAAATACAAGCTTCGCTTCTCAATGCCCCCGTCGGTATATCAGCCCATGTCTCACATCTCCAGTCCCACCAAATACTTCAGAAGGACCGATGTAGGCGGGTGACCTGGAAAGCCCTCCAGTGCCCGGAATGCGTCTTCGGCCGGGAGCGGCTCCTATCAGCATGCGAGACTCCAAGACAAGCACAGGCCGGACAATCGCCATCATCGTCGTCATCGCCACTGTCTTGGCAAAGGATACTCCACGGATTCTGGTCACAGCGAGATAGTGCAGATGATTATGGGGAGGATGATGGTGTGATGCTGATGCTTGTGGTGATGATGACGATGATGCAGAAGAAGATGAGGAGGAGACTGGGGATCAGCATCATGAGGATGTGGATGAGGATGAGGACCCGGACGAGGATGATGATGACGGTGATGATAATGATGGTGGTGATAATGGTGATGATGACGACGACGACGACGACGACGATGATGATGATGAGTCGGAGGAGTAGGAGGAGGGGTGACGGATGATGAACAAAATTGCGAGGACCAAGAGACCCTTTGCTTCTCATGGGCTGATGCCTCTCAGTCCCTCTAGCTTTTTGTCCTTCATGTCGCTCTTACCGCCGAGCGGTGCACTAACACAGTTAGGGGCTGCTTGGCTCAGTTTCAGCCGTTTTGTCAAGCAGCATGCTGTTTTGTGCTTCTGTGGAAATAGTTCTGCCACCATATGTCGCGGTGTTTCGCGTTGTTGCGCGTTGCCCTCGCTTTGGTTCACCCCGCCCCTCTCATCTCCCTTGGCTTCCTTCCTCTCGGCTATCACAGCTATGCCGCCACAACGTCACAACGAGGATCTCCGGGCTTTTTCCACCGTCACCCCACCCGACCTCGGCCCCGGCGAGCAGAGGCACTGCCAAGCTTGGCACGACATCGTCGCTTCTCGGGGAGTCGGTACGGCCTCAGAAGGCAGTGAAAACGGGCTTCGGATTCACTGGAAATCACGGGCTCACACCCAAGACATGAAGGTGCATGTGTGCACCTGTCATGCTCCGGTTTGGGTGCGATGCCAGCAGGTTACATACTAGCGAATCCTACCTTGCATGCCCTTGCAATCATCTTCGTACACGCCCACAGGGCGGTGCTTGAAAGCGTAGGAATCGCTTTTAGAGCTGGACTGTTCCCACCCTCACCTCTGCACCGAAGACACACTGCTGGCATGCAGAGAGTGGCTCAGGCCCGGGCCCACGCCGACCAAAGCATCCTTGTCTTGGCTTGAGGGCGAGTATGCTGGGAGGATGGAGACCAGATTCCTCAGCCCATGAAGAAAGCTGCAGTTCACACCCATAATTGGCCATGTCCGGTGGAGCCGTTGCATGCTGCTTCGCGCTGTATCAGTTGCTAGCACTTGAACTCGCAGGAACAGCGTGCCGGACCCCAGATCCCAGTAGGTCGCGACTGCTGAAAGCCGGCATGCGCAACCTGCTGGTCTCGGGGCCATAGCTTTGTGACGGTTGTTTCGGAATCAAGTCAATTTATGCTAGCTCTTAATACAAACCCCGCAAGCCTCCGACAACCGCCACGGTTCAGGACAATTCATGGCCTCCCCTTCGTGCATGCGGCGCAGAGGTCTGGTCTGGACACCCCAGCAAGCACGTTAGCTCATTGCCTTGCTGTCGTACACCCGGACTGAGTCTCAGCCCTCGGAGGGTGCGTTGGCTAAAGGTGCCAAAGGCAAGGCGGCGAGTGCTCAACACAACCGTGACAAGCGCCTCCAAGCCTCCGCCACATGCGCCCCATCACCCGGCCAGCGGTGTGCGGGAGGTGCCGAACGGCAAGGTGGCACCATCCCGTGGGTAGGGCTGGCAAAGTCATGACCCAACTAGGTCCAAGCATCCGCGGGCAACTAAAGGTGTTCCATGATGCTGAGATGTCGCACTCCGAGCGAATGTGGCAGAAACAGCAACGATGTCACGGGTCAACTCCCTTCCAAGTAGGCTCAGCAAGCGACAAGAAGGCCGTCGAGGTCGGGTGACACGGGAGGCCTCAGAGTCTGAAAAAGTTTGGCCCTTCAGTGACTTGTCAAGGCAGCTCGAGGCTTCCGCCGGGGCTCTCGCTGGGGATTGTGCGCTTTGCCGGACTGGCTCTTGAAGGGCTGCTTTGGCCCTTGGGCGATGCCTTATGCGTCGAGTTCTCGGGAATGCAATGCTTCAGAAGGAGCTGATGCAGGCTTCACCGCGACGGAGCATGAGATATGTTATATTATATTATATTATATTATATTATGTTATATAATATTTTTTTATTATATTATATTATATTATATTATATTATTTATGATGGCAGGCTGGCAGACTCGAGTTTCTGCAGCTTGAGGGCACGGCCTGGACGTGACTTTGGCCCTTGCTGGGCTCCAAGCGCCTTTGGGAAGAGGCGAAGACGACCGACGACTCTACTTAATGGATCATGGGACTTAGTAACTAGGGTTATAATTAAGGTAGCTACAGTTGTAATTACCTATAACCCCAATTAAGGTACTTATAACCCTACTTACTAAGTCCCATGATCCTCCAAGTACTTCCGAAGGCTAACTTGTGTGTGTGGAAGGCACAGAATGCGCATGACCAGTCTAAGCTTCGTCCATACTGGAAATCACCAAGTCTGGCACGCCACTGAATGCGAGAGCTCTTCCATTCCTGGGCTGGAGATTCTGGCTCGTTCCACCGAGCATTGAGGTGTGCACAAACTAAGGACTCATTCACGACGATTGCTCATTACGAAGATTGTGCTACTCGCCTTTGCTGTTTCAGCCCCTACTACTAGCTTAAAGCTAGGGGTGAAACTGCTACGCTAGTTTTTGACAGACAACATGGGGAAGCTCTCGACAAAGGGTCTTAAGAAGCAGCACAGCGGTTGCCACCTCTTCTGGAGTGTATCTTCAAGTCAACTACCACACGGGCACTGCTACCCCCTACCGCAAAAGCTTCACAGCATAGTGGCAGGTGTTGATGCAGCGTAGCAGTGGAAAGCCCACATGATCAGTTCATCTGGCATCATTCCAAAACATGTGGAGCCTATCTGGTGATGCTACTCGCAAAAATTGCCCCTGTTGCCAGACTTGTGGCCAAGCTTCGGCTGCGCAAGTCATCCTGGCAATGCTGGGGCGAGCTCCGGAGTTTTGGCAATGAGTTGGTCTCTGTCTGCGCATGTGTGTGTGTGTGTCTCACACGCTACATGATCTATGCATGTGCTTCAGGACAACACAGCCGCCACTACACAATGTACTCTGCCTTTTTCCAGCAACGCTGTTGCTGTAATGTCTTGACAAGCCAGTAGACAACGCTGCCGCATAGGACGCACCTTTGCATTGAAAAAGCAGCCCCCAGCTCCAGCAGAACACAGACGCACACTGAACCCAGGGGTACCATAAGGGGAGATACCGTGGCAGGATACTGTGAGGGGTACCACACAAGGATTACTACGATGGGTACCACAAGAAGTGCTACAAGGATCGCCACAAACCCTAGTCCTCGAGGTGCTGCGTGTGGCTTTGCCAGGACTCCAGCGCCTCCTCGAGCGACCTGTCCGCGAAGTTTCAGAAATTCGGGGTCGCTTTTGGGCAAAATCAGATTCAAGGGTTTAGGGTGTGTTGCCCTGGTTTTTGGGTGCTTGCAAGAAGGGTCCGATTTATTTTGGAGGGAAGGGGGGGGGGGGGGGGGNNGGGGCTGATATTGTCGTCTCTTCTGATGTCGGGAGTCTTTACAGCATGCATCCTATTATTTTGTAGTGTATATTAGGTCTTTCTGAGACTCGCATTGTATCAGGGGAACGAAATTGGTGCACAGAAGGCAGGGCCGTAAATGATGAGAAAAATTGAACTTTACTCCTGCAGCTTTGGCAGAGAAAAAGGAGGGCATTAGCCATGGTGATTTCACGTGCTATCGCAACTGACGGATGGTGAGTTCTTTCCCTGTCACGGAAATCCACTTCTCTGATCTCCACCAAAGCCTTAACTTAAAACAAGACCATGACCTCTCTACAACCCCGAATTCTTCATGCCCACCCTGAACGCTAAACCCTAAAACCTAAACCCTAAACCGTCCCTAAACCCCTAACCCTAAAGCCGACGCCCTGAGCCCTCACCTCACCGCTTGGTGAAGGTCTTCGGCCAGACCTACAGGCGCCGCCAGCCTTTCACAATTGAGAGTGCAACTCTTGTGGAAAGGAGCCCCGGGTTTAGGGTTTAGGGTTTAGGGTTTAGGGTTTAGGGTTTAGGGTTTAGGGTTTAGGGCTCAAGGATTCCTTTTTTGGGGAGGGGGATGGGCTTTGAGATTTAGGCTGTAGTTTCCTTCGGATGTAGATCTTCGGGCTTCAAAGTCACTCTAGCGGACTCTAGCGTCCAAAGCTCACGCTTGGAGACCTTGTCTGACAGCTCCAATGATGATTTTGGCAACACAACCAAGAGTCGGAACGGCAAGCACGAGTAGCGGCAGAAATAGTACGCAAAGAGTCGAAAGCAAAGGGTCATGCACATGATGTAACATGCCAGTCCAGGACATCGCAAGCCAAAGTTTGCTTGTCTGAGGCCCGTGGCTACAGTAGTTGTCAATGATCCTTGCGGCGATCGAGTAAGGTTCCTGTTGATGCTATCAATATTGCTGCTACGATTATTGTTCAGCATGCACCGGGTTTCCGACCTGCCTTCGTGCCGACTCAGTGAACTGCTCTGTGAGCTTCGCGTTCTCGGCATCCAACCGCCTGTCAGCGGACCAGCATGCATGCTGCAGGGCACCCTACCACAGGAAAGGTCATTCAATGCGGGCCTGATGCCCTCTTCGAGGCCACCCAGCCGGCCACCCATGTCCATGTCAAGCCTGCGCGGCACGATATTGACTTGCACTACTGTGCTTTCTTCGCAGGAATCATCTTCAAACCCTGCGAATGTTCCCACCTTCATGTCTCCTTCCGACCCTGCACCACCTAGACAGTCCTGCCTGTCTATCCGAGTTATCTGCATCTGCAGCTCTGCAGCCAGTTTCCTGCACTTGAGCACACACAGCCTTACTGTAAGAAGCAGTACTCGTTCAGACTGAAGAGAGACATCGATGGCAGAATGAGAAGGACATTCAGCATAGCAGTGACAACAATAGATTTGTCAAAGTCCTGAAATTGATCAGGAGCTCCTTGACGGTTTCCCTCTCGGACTCGTGGTTGTCATCTAGCGGCTTTGCTGCGGGGCGTGGCTCGTCGGGCAGCGGGGAATGGATCGGAATTCCGCGCGTCCGGTCTCTCTCGTGATGTTGGCCTATATTCTTACACAAAGCCATTGTCATGAAGTGACGTCTGAACTGCTTTAGTACTTAAAGGATCATGGGATTTAGTAACCAGGGCTATAAATAAGGTATAACTATACTTATATTTACTTATAACCCCACTTAAGGTGCTTTTAACCCTACCCTACTTACTAAGTCCCATGATCCTCCAAGTAGGTGCTACTCCGGTCCAGTTGCCAGCTTTCAGATCTCGGCCTCTTCGGCCGTCACTGCTGGGCTCCTGCCGACTTTGGTAAGGGAGGTGATCTGCACATGGGCTTCCCCAAACAGAGCCTGCACGCTTAACACCTCATGGAACAAGGGTTTTTGTCCGTACTTGGAGGATCATGGGACTTAGTAAGTAGGGTTATAAGTACCTAAATTGGGGTTAGAAGTAATTATAAGCCTAGTTACCTTAATTATAACCCTAGTTACTAAGTCCCATGATCCTTTAAGTAGGCTCGGGATACCTTCTTTGCTGCCCCATCTAAAACCTCACGTTGGAGTCAGCAGCGGGCCTCTGAAGACTCTCCTCGGCGTGGTGTCTCCCGGGGTGTCTCTCGAGGCTCCCGAAGACGCTCGCCTCGTTCTGAGGGTTCTAAGGCCGATAAGGTCCATGTCATGAATTCCCTACTTAAAGGATCATGGGACTTAGTAACTAGGGTTGTAATTAAGGTAACTAGACTTATAATTACTTATAACCCCAATTAAGGTGCTTATAACCCTACTTACTAAGTCCCATGATCCTCCAAGTAGTTTACGAAACAGAGCCAAGAGATCTTCAATCTTCGAGGGGACAACTGCTGGTGGCATCTGCACGTAAGTCGGCCAGAACAAGAGGGTTCACCCTGGCGAACACGGCCTTCTTGTTGGACACGCTGGATTTGCAGAAGCAGCTTCTCCTGCTTTCGGCAGCCAGCCGGCAAGCTCGCACAAGAAGCAGTTACTTCATGGCCCGCACCCGGCAACTTCTGTGAGTGTGTGTGTGTGTGTGTGATTCAGCTTCACAAGCTGTGCTGCATAAGCCCTTGAGAAACTGCTGGCCTGTGTTTGTTCGCATGAAGAAGACGATGATGATCATTGATGACAGATGATGACAGCTTTCCACCACCATCATGGTCATCACGGCGAAATGTTCACAAAGTGACGATCATGCCTATTGCACGCTGGTCCCGTAATGTAGTGCTTACTACAGCTTAGCGCTATGAACAGTACTACTCTTCTTTCTGATTCTGGCTTTCGAAGATCTCCGTAATTACTGCTTGATACTCTGACTGCATTGCTATGACTCCAGCTATGCTTGTCACCGCACAATGCTGACCGCTGTAGCAGGATAAGCCCTTTAAAAACCCTAAACCCTAAACCCTAAACCCTCAACCCCTAAACCCTAAACCCTCAACCACGCCGACCTCGAGACTGGCAGCCGCTTGTGCTGAACGCTGTACGGCGGAGCCCCGCAGGCGGCCGAGCTGGGCAGGGGCCGGCTTTGGCTGTTGTTGGCTTTAGGTTTAGGGCTTAGGGGTT